CAATTGCTACGTAACAAACACTGCAAAAATGTAATGGCTTACAAACACAGCGATGTATTATTTCCCATGATTCTCTGGGTTGATTTGGCTCAACTGGCTGGCTCTTCCGTTCTGTGTGGTGCATGAGGTAGCTGTATTCACTGGGAGCTCAGCTGGGGCATTCAGACTGGCCTGTCATCCTCTAGGTCTCTGTCCACCTGGCCTCTCAGTTTTGCAGCTTTTCTGGAGCATGGCAGCTAACTTCTAAGAGGGAGCTACCAGCCTTCTTAGAGGCTAGGTCTGCAGTTTGGCACAGTGTCAGCTCTGTAGCTTTCTTTTGGTCTAAGCAAGTCACAACGCCAGCCCCCATTTTAGGGGAGGAAAAAACAGTTTCACTGCTTAATAGGAGTAGTGGCAAAAAAATATGTGGCCACCATTAAATCACCATAGTTCACGCTCTGGACATAAATTAGTTACATTCCTCCCACTTGCAAAATGCACTTAGTGCTCTTCCAGGGCCGCCCAAAGTCTTATCCAGTACAGCATCAAGCTCGAAATTCAGCATCTCGTGACCTGTATCAACTCCAAATGCAAATGTGGCTCCTTGGGGCAGTTTCGCCAGGTGCAGGTGTTTAGGTATGGCACCTCTTCATCTGGTGACCTGGGCACTAAAAAGATAAGTTATTTGCACCCCATATACCCAACATACAATGGTGAGACAAGCACAGGAAAACAATAGCGGACATTCAAAAGAGTTGGGGCAGTGGAAGGTAAATAGCAGTCACTTTTAATAGTGACTCTGGATCTAATAATAGTCCTTCTGAAATCGAGCCAGGCATGTGACGTCAGGGCCCTCTACTTCAGGGGCAGAGACTGTTGTTTGATTCGGGACCAGTTCTGCTTCTCAGGAGTGCTTCTCCAAGAGCCAACCTTCCTTTCTCATTAGAAACAGAGCTCTGCTTGCAGTTGAATAGATTTCTCAGTCTTCTTTCCGCAGAAAAAGCAGAAATTTGAGGGACCAGACACATCTTTTCCATTTAGTACTATTCGGGCATTGGCACATTACAACCTCAGGGGCAACTCTGGTTTGTGGTCTCTTTCTGTATGGCCTACGAGCTTAAAATAGTTCGTATATTTTTAATTTTTTAAAGGATTGTTAAAAACAAAAACAAAACATACACACGAAATAAAAAAGAAACTGGCAGAGACCAGATGTGCTTTGTAAAACTTAACATATTAACTATCTGGTCTTTTATAGAAAAATTTGCTGACCGCTGACTTGGTAAGCAGACCTCATACAGAGCGCAGGCTAGAATGTGCCTTCTCTCAGTGGATGGATCTGAGAGAGAACCAACCCAGGAGGCTCCATGCTGAACTCTTTCTCTTAAAATTTTCAATCAAATAGGCTCCTCCTATATGGGGAAGAGGCCATTCCTCCCATAATTTGCTCCTGGAAAGTGGGGAGTATAAATTTATACCCGTCTCCCCACCCCCGAAACTCCCCATAGGATTGGGGAATAAGTGATTGCAACTAGTGCAGTAAGTCTAGTATAACTCTATTGTGGGTATAATGTGGTTTGCCGCATATATAGACACATTGATATGAATTTCGAAAAACACCGGAAAGAGTATACAGCGAATTGTTGCATTGATTAGCTCTGAGTTGGAATAAGGTAGACCCCAGGGAATTCAAATTTCCTATATAATTTTAGAAAGCATGTTACAATTATAAGGACTTCTACCCTTCTCTTTAGAAAACGGACTGATAATGTTTCCCTCCTGATTTCTTTTACCAATTATGTAGTTTTATTTTTCACATGTAAACAGATCCTTCAAATTTATTTTCATGTAAAGAATGAGGCAGCTCACTCCTCTTTGCCCCTCCCTCCACTGTCCTCCAATTGTCCTAATGTGATTTATTGAAGAATTCGATTTTATTCCACTTATTTGACATTCCAACCTCATCAGTTTCTAAATCCACATATACACTCTTATCTAAATGAAAAGATTACTGATCAGGGTGACTGTGCAGCACTGCTGATACATGCAGCTCTAAAGGGCTTCCTAGCCAATTTAACTTTTTCCTTGCCTCCTTTAGGAGGTGTGGTCTTGCTGGATTGAACTGCTTCACTATTTGGACCTAGAAACCACCTGGCTAAACACCCTGGAAGAGCGGATGAGGAGCGCAGAGGCCCTGCCTGAGAAGGCAGATGCCCTCAGCGAAGCCCTGGAGGTGGGGATTTCTTCTTGTTGCCGAGAAGACAGATGAATATTAAAATGGGGAACGCAATGCCTTACGCCAGCAAATGCGTTTGCTTCCTTGGGAGCTTTCCGTGTAACTTGTGTTGTCTTCTGTTGCCTGAAGCATTTATATGCAGTGATGTATATTTAGATTATTGGTGACCCTCTAACTCAGCCTCCTGAGATGGTTCGTCGTTTGCTAATTAGCACATTTCAGACCTTGTAGAGCACTCTAGTGACTTTCCACCTTGTTTTGACCAGTCCTCGGATAAAACTCTGCCTTGTGTTATTGCTCTCTTGTTTCTTCATAGTTATTTTTGTTCAGTAGATACCACAACGACCGTGTTTACAATGGCTCCTACTCTGTAATCTTCAGACGTGAAAAGTTGGAGGGCAGGTTGGGGCCACAGTTAGAGGCAAGGCATCCACTCAGAGGAGCTCATCCCCATGATGGGCTGGAGCTTCTTGAGGCCAAGAAATGTACCTGATTTTTCCTTGTTCCCCAGTTACCAGCACAGCATGTGGTATATGATGACCTAATAACTGTTTCTTAAATGAGTTAAAATGTGAAGAGAATAGATTCACTTTTCTTTTTTCTTTTTTTAAAAGAGGAGTAACAGGGTAGATATGCTTTTCAAATTGTAGGTACATGATGTGATAATTAAGAAGATGACTGAATTGAAGGTCAGAAATAAGTCAAATGTGGTACCTGAGAGCCAGGAGCCAGATGCTCTGCTGGAAAAACGATGTCACTTCTAAAATAAAATATCAGAATGAGAGATTGAGAGCATAACAAAAATGTGAAAAACTCTCTTTAAAGATACATATTTTCTTAACATGAGAGTTAAACCATGTGCATTCTAGAAATAGGGAAAATGGAGAAAAATATAAAGCAAACTGTAAGATAAACATTTTTAAACATTTTGGTGTGTTTCTTCCTAATTATTATTATTATTATTATTATTTTTAACAAACACGCTGGAAGGGAGTACATTACAGTAACTAGATCAGAGGCTTTAGAATCATAAGGGCTTTGGAGTCCAGTTGGAATCTTAGCTCTTCTTTGGACTGTGTGTAGACAGGCAAATTGCTTAACCTCTTTGAACTTCAGTTTTCCCGTCTGTCATATGGGAATCATATTTAACTCTTGTGGTTAATTATATTTATGTATAAAGTTTGTATATAAAGCAATTCCTAGTCTTCCGTATATCTTATAGAAAAATGAATACCTATTTTTAGTAACATCATAACAGTTTGAGATAATTTTGCTTGTATGGTACTGTTTTCTGCTTTTAAACTTTGTGTTATACCATGAACATGTTCCCATGTAATTAATAATCATTGAAATTATTTTATGGAATTACATTATCATATATCATCATTCATGAAGACATATTGTCATATATCATCATTGATTCTCAGTTTTATGTATTGTTTAATACCATATGGATAGTTTTGTGAATTAATCATTTTTGGTCTTGTTCCTTAGATAGATTTTTAGAAAATGAACTTATTTGTTTAAAAAGTGGACATTTTAAAGATCCTTGATACATTTTGCCTCAGTAAATGCATTATTTTTCCCCCTGTCCCTGTCTAGTCTCTAGAATCTGTTTTGCGACATCCAGCGGATAATCGTACCCAGATTCGGGAACTTGGCCAAACTCTGATTGATGGAGGGATCCTTGATGATATAATCAGTGAGAAACTAGAGGCTTTCAACAGTCGGTATGAAGAACTGAGTCACCTGGTAAGAGCTGGGACAGGCATGAGTGTTTGTGATATGGAGCTGCACTCAGGAACTTTTACCAAGGGGAGAGGTTGATAACCAGTATTAATGGGGTGTTCAGGGCTTTGAAATATCAGCTGGGGAAGAGTAGACCTAATACTGCTAAAGAAGGCAGAACTTGATGATTCAAAAAAAAAAAATCTGCCTTTGAGATGGTTTCTACTTATGAACTATTTAATTTCCTTTAAGGATCATATTATAGCTGTATATAAGAATAATGACTCATATCCTAATAAATATTAGGGCCATCCGAATTTGACGTTCATGCCAAATTCTCTAGGATACATATTCAGAATTTATCCCAACATGTGCGTTCATATCAGTAAGTAGAGAAAGGAGACTGTTTTTTTTATAGGAGGGTTGGGTGGACATTAGATGCTTTCGAACACATATTAAATAATAGCTGTTGATGCTTAGATTGTGAATAGAATCAAGCTTAATTCAAAAGTGCTGCAAACAGTCGTTCAAAACATATGCCCGTCTGTACAACTTGTTTTAGACTTCGGAAAATAGAGATTTATAGGTTCATTCTATTAATGCACAGTTATTTTATATATTGTATTCTTGTTGATAGGCTTATTGCTGATTCCTAAAAATGCCCTGAACTTATAATACATGACAAATTTTTATTCTCTGCTTAATATGTTAATTAGGAAATCTTTACATTTTTATACATTGTCATTGTATGTAGAGAGAAGTAAAAATTAGTAATTCGATGCAAGATACTTAGGATTCTAGAAGAACTTTTTCACTGTTATCATTGCTAGTTATTATTTATTTGTACTGCTGGCCAAAGTCTTGAACTAGTGCTTCTATTTCTTTTCTTGGTAGCCGGAACATAAGGGTTTTCTTATATTCAGCTATTTTTATTTGTGCTGAGTGACTAATGATTCAATTTTATCCCCTTTGTAGGCAGAGAGCAAGCAGATTTCTTTGGAAAAGCAACTCCAGGTCCTGCGGGAAACCGATCACATGCTTCAAGTCTTGCAGGAGAGCTTAGGGGAGCTGGACCAGCAGCTCACCACATACTTGACTGATAGGATAGATGCCTTCCAAGTTCCACAGGAAGCTCAGGTACTGCCATGGATTTGAGGTGTTTGAGTCATAAAAAGAGCACATGTGATTGCCTCCTCACCTGCAAGAGAACCAGCTCCTTCTGTCATCCCAACCCTATAGTCAGTGAGAAAGGTCAACCTTACTTATGGGGCAGTTCTCTTGGTCTTTTTGTGAGACCCTGGTAAATTTTAAAATTATATAGCTTTCTTAGCTATGCAATTGGGAAAAAACCTTTCTTTATAAATAATTGGTGAGCATTAGAAATGACAAAAAATACAGATAGTTTGCAAAGCACATAGTAGTCCTACAATATTGGTGGACCATATTATTATTATACTGTACTGCAAATGAATTAATGCTTGTGTCGGGCTCAACATATTCTTATGTATTGTACGTCTATATGGAACTTTTTTAAAAAAGTCATTCTCTCCCCCTTCTAATCTTTTTGTAGAAAATCCAAGCAGAGATCTCAGCCCATGAGCTTACGCTAGAGGAGTTGAGAAGAAATACCCGTTCTCAGCCTCCACCTTCCCCAGAAGGCAGGACTGCTAGAGGAAGTCAGATGGATGTGTTGCAGGTGAAGAGGCAGAGCAGCTTCCTTTTACTTTGCAATGTGTTGGGCATTAAAAGGAGAATGGGGACGAGCTGATTACTCGGATGCCTTGGGTCTTCTGTGACGGAAACAGTGGGGTGGGAGTGATGTATGGAAGACACATTGCATCCCAGTCAGGGCAGCAGAAGCAAATTGTTGCATGCATGGAAAACATTGAGTGTGATTTTTATGGTTGAGCTGAGAAGAGACAGCGAGCTAGATTTGGATGTTAGCTTTATAGAGTCTTCTCCCTTAGTGCAGAGCCCCTGTTAGTTCTTCTGTGGCTGATACACTGGGCAGGCTGAGTGCATGGGATACAGCACCACATTGCCCCTTCATGGTGGATGTGACATTGACTTTCACTCTGAGCTTGTGAGGAAGAGCACTTTGAGTTCTAGGTTCCTGACTATATTTTCTCAGACAGGTGAGAAAATGAATGAAGTTTTAATTCCAGCGAGGCCAGCTTAGTTTTTTATTATATTGAAGACTGAGACACTGAGTGTCAAGTCATTCATGACACTGGACGGTTCACTCAGGTGACCAGTAACCTCTCTGAGTTCTTTTAAGGAATGTTTTTATTAGTGCTTTGTTTTGCAGCTTTTTAGCAGTGTGTGTTTTACTAATACCATCTGACGAGGGAGGTGATTATCCAGATGTGAATTGCGTATTATTTTCATCTCTCCAAACAGAGAAAACTTCGAGAGGTATCGACAAAGTTCCAGCTTTTCCAGAAGCCTGCTAACTTCGAACAGCGCATGCTTGACTGCAAGCGTGTGCTGGATGGTGTGAAAGCAGAGCTTCATGTTCTGAACGTGAAGGATGTGGACCCGGAAGTCATCCAGACCCACCTGGACAAGTGTATGGTGAGGCCATTGCGTGTTCAATGTGTCCAGTGGGTTTTCTGGCTTCCTCTAGTGCTTACTTACTTACATGGTTTGTTCGATAATTATTTGTTGATAGTGTGCTAAGAATAGTGATCAATGATGAAAAACAGGTTAAAGAATAGGAAGTGTAGTTATTTCCTCGAAGGAGAGATAGGAGAGAGTAAAATCAACTTTTACAATGTAATGAGATAAGGAAACTAGTATAGACAAGTACAGAACATGATTTAAAAACAAAGGAAACACATCTTAATTGTAATGTGAAGTTAGGGAAGGCTTTGGCAGAATGTGACTAATAAGCTAACATTTAAAGGATAAGTTTGATTTAGCCAGAAGAACCATACCTATAGAATGGATGTTAGGGATATTACAGTGTAAAAAAAAATCATTCTTAAGGAAAGTAAAATTTAAATTTTAATTGATAAAGTTTAAGTTTAAAATATGAAAGAAGAAATTATACTTAGATGTCAGGAATATCATTGCCAAAGAAAAAATCATTCTCTAGGAAAATTAATTTTAAATCAAAGTTTAAACCTAAGATGTGAAAGAAGAAATTATTTGAAAGGCCTTATTACAATTATAGTCTTGAACTTTAAAATTCAATTGCACAGAAATTTAAAAAATAGTGTGGCTAAGCATACACCATCTTAGAATTAATTTTTTGCTTGAGAACAATCATGAAGAAGCTGAAGATGACACTTGTTAAGACAAGAAAAGTCTGGGATGAGTTCTTTGTACTTTTCAAAACCGTGATGTACACATATCTGTTATATACCAAACGTTGTTTGAGTATTCAAAAGCTGGGATGGGTGACAGAATGAACAAACAGGATACATTTTTATAGATAAGTGTGTGCACACACATGCATGCATGTGCTCGTGGATATATGTAAGGACTTATTTATTTACTGACATATAGAGGTCATAAAGTAAATACTGTCCTTGACCTCATGTAACTTAGTCCATTTGTCTGTTGTTATGCGACAGAGCCATGCGCTATATTTCAGGTGAAGATCATTATGAATAGAGACACGAGAACCTGCACAAAATAAAGCTTTTTTTTTTTAAGGTAACTAGAATGAAGATAGCTCTGAATTTGACTTACATAACTCCGATTTCTTCTGGTCATATCCACCTTCATATATTGAGTTATCATATAGTTTTTCATTATATAAGCAATATGTACTGATTGTGGTAGACTTGGTACTTCAGAGAATTGTATTTAAGAAAAAAAAATGAATGTTGATTCTTCCAAATTCCAACAGCCAGGAATATAGCAATGTTGGATTTTTTTTTTTTTTGTAATAGCATTTAGGATTTTTTAAAATATAATTTTAAAAGTGATAGACATTCAATTTTTAATTCTAATATTTTCCCACTTTATGTAGGGACAATGTTCATAAACTTTTAAAATACGCACCTCAGTTTTTTAAAAAAAATAAGTATAATCTCTATTTGTGTATTTTTTTTCTCTGATTATAAAAAGTTATTACAACCTTGATTTCATTTTACTCTCATCCTTTGAACCGAAATCCGGGGAAGATAAAGCCCTTTGATCTCCATAGTTAGTTAATAGCTGTCAATCAGTATAAGCTGTGCTCTGCAATGATTCCAGTTAGCAGGTTTTCACTCTGATGTATAAAATTTGCCTTGCTTTATTTTTAAGAAACTCTACAAAACTTTAAGTGAAGTCAAACTTGAAGTGGAGACTGTAATCAAAACAGGAAGGCACATTGTCCAGAAGCAGCAAACTGACAACCCCAAGGGGATGGATGAACAACTGACCTTGCTGAAGGTTCTCTACAACGACCTGGGGGCCCAGGTGAGGACAGCAGCATGTTTAATTTGTACAGCATTAATAATATATGCTTTCAGTTATCCCAATCATTTTCATTACATTGCTTTACATGTATGTGTTAATATTATAGTGATTACTAGTTGTATTGGAATTTATATTTAATATTTAATCCAGATTCATTTTATATTTTCAACGACTACAGACATTTCAGGAGGTATTCTAAGGAAACTTTAAAAATAATAATCCTTGAAAAGAAAATAATAATCCTGTTTAAACTCAAATTATTGGTCCTTGGATACTTAAATTGAATAGTCTACTGAAAATGTTAAAATATCAGGACTCTTAATAAATATTACGTGACAGGAAGGTCACATTAATCTAGCAGGATTTAGAACCCTTTATAGAAGCATCTGTACTTTGGGCATTTTAGTGAGCCCATGGGGGAGTCCTCGGGCATTTACTGCGACTGGCTGACTGGGTCTAGTAGGCTTAATGTGTCCTCTCATTGAGCAGCTCTGCCTTGAAACCAGAGAATCACAGAAACGTGTGGAGATGAAACCTGGGTATTATTGAAAATCTGTGTTAGATACTATTTTAGATCTTTCTTGGGTTATTAAGTAGTAACTAAGGTTCTACGGGATCCCAGAGAAAATGAATTTATTGAAAATCTGTGTTAGATACTATTTTAGATCTTTCTTGGGTTATTAAGTAGTAACTAAGGTTCTACGGGATCCCAGAGAAAATGAATTTATTGAAAATCTGTGTTAGATACTATTTTAGATCTTTCTTGGGTTATTAAGTAGTAACTAAGGTTCTACGGGATCCCAGAGAAAATGAATTTATTGAAAATCTGTGTTAGATACTATTTTAGATCTTTCTTGGGTTATTAAGTAGTAACTAAGGTTCTACGGGATCCCAGAGAAAATGAATTGAAATGTGGTTACCGCTGTCAAATCAGTAGGAATGAGCAGTCCATTCATCCCTGGGCCATCTTGACCTCACTTCTACCTGACTAAGTGGTTGATTTTATATTATTTTGATACAGTGCACCACTGGCACACTTATCTTAGAGCTTCTATTTGGAATTCTACAGCTGAAATTATTTGTGAAATATTCTCTGTATTCATCGATTGGGCATTTTATGGATGGGAATGATGTTGCTGGTTTTTGCACCAGTTCTCTTATTGTGACTATAATTTTAGAGTGAAGTCATTTTCTCATTCAACACAATTGAGACTTGAGTGTGTATCAGGAGTAGAGATATAGTGGTGAGCAAAAATGAACGATCTCTTTGCCTAATGGGCATAGGGTAGTGAAAGAAGAAAACGTTAATCAAGTAGTCACACAAAGTGATGTGAAATTGCCAGTCTGAAGTGTTACGAAGGAATGAACATGGTTCTTCAGTGTGGATGTCACAGGGGGATTTGGCCCGTCAGGGGTTAGGAAAGCTTCCCTGAGGAAGTGGTGCATGGACTGAGATCTGAAGGCCGAGCAGGGGTAGCCTGGGTGAAACCAGTGGAGGAGCTTTCCAGGCTGACGGAATAGCATGTGTAAAGCCCCTGTGGCAGGATGCAGCATGATGCATTTGTTTGGCTAAAGGAGAGACAGGAAGTGTGGGGAATGTGGTGGTGGACAGATGGGTGAGACCAGAACCCACCCGTGTGTTAGGGTTTGTGGGAAAGATTTTAATCTCTGTTTTAAGAACAATAAGCAATTATTGCAAGGTTTTAGAAAACAGATAACATGCTCAGATGACACGTGTTTTTTAAAAGATCACTCACTATAGTTAGGAGGATGGATTGGAGAGAGGCAGAAGTGGATGTGGGAAAACCAGCAAGGAAGGCATCCTCACGCTCTTAGAGAAAGATGATGATGGCTGGATTTAGGGTGGAGCAGTGGAGTTGGTGTGAGCGGATTGATCTTAGGTGTATTTAGGAAATGAGTAGGATTTGGTGCATTAGATGGATTAGATGTGAGGGTGCAGGAGAGAGAGAGATGAAGGATGACTCCTGAGTTTCCGGCTCAATTATGTGGAGTATCATGGCGCCATCACTGGGACGGGGTGCTGGAAGGAAAGGCAGACACATGGAGAAATCACAAGAAGTATTGGCCATGTTGAAATTTTAAGTGCCTTTGAGAGAATTAATTGCATATGTGATGTACGAGTATTCATGAAGTTATTAAAACATGGAGATTATGTCTGGGCTAAAGATAGGAATTTTATGAATTATCTGCATATAGGTGGTAAAATTTTCAGTGATGATGAGATTGCCTAGGTAGAAGACGTAGTGAAACAAGAAAAGGGCCTGAATTGTCTTGAAGAACTACATCATTTAGTAAGAAATTTGAGGAAGATGCGCTTGAAAAAGAAACTCAAGTGTGTATATGTATAATATATAATAGCTATTACATTAGCATATAATAGCTATTAATATAATATACCAGGGATGCCAAAAAAATGTTTACACATGACTTGTATTCATCTTTTGTTATTGGTATATATTATTACAATTTTAATATAGGTTTTTTTCCTTTCTTTAAATGTGTATACAGTTTTTTGGCACCCTCTTTATCATAATATACATCATCTCTCTCTCTCTCTCTCTCTCTCTCTCTCTATATATATATATATATATATATATATATATATATATATATATAAAACATCATTATTCATCCATCGTGGACACTTAGGTTGTTTCCATATCTTGGCTGTTGTGAATAATGCTGCAGTGAACATGGGAGTGCAGATATCTCTTTGACATACTGATTTCATTTCTTTTGGATTGATACCCAGAAGTAGGATTGCTGGATTGATTATATAGCAGTTCTGTTTTTAATTTTTTTGAGGAACCTCCATGCTGTTTTCTGTAATTGTATACTCGAAATCTGCTAAGAGAGATTTCTTAAGTGTTCTCACAACTGAAAAGGTAACTATGTGAGATGATGGGTATGTTAATTAACTTGATTGTGATAATCATTTCACGATATATATGTACATAAAATTATCACATTGTATACCTTAAAATCACATTGTATATATAAAGTATAGTAAGCATCAAGAAGTGGTAGCACATTGGGAGAGTGCTAGGTCTGGGAAGCCAGCGGAAGAGGGCATTTTGAGAATGAGTGCAGGCAGCATTTTGAATATTATCAAAAGTTAAATATGGCATCCACTTCAAAATGTCCGTTAGCTCTGTTGCCATTGGAGTCATTATTGAACTTAGCAAAGATAATTTCTGTGGCATGATGGGGGTAGAAGCCAGAGGGGCATGGCATAAAGTATGTGTGGGAGGTGAGAAAATGGTCTGGAAAGGTAGGAGAGAGGAAGTTCTTTAGGGGACCTGGGGCCAAAGAAGGAAGGGAGAGAGAGAGAGGGAGAGAGGGAGAGAGGGAGAGAGGGAGAAAGGGAGAGAGGGA